TCCTTGAAGGGAAAGTGATGGACAAATTAAAAATTTTTATAAGAGGAATGGAAAGAGCAGCAGCACAGTTAATAATAAGGACCAGAAGGAATACCATCTGATCCAGGACCCTTGCCGGGTGCAATCCCTTTAAGCTCAACCTCAAGCTGAGCCCCGGTAACGGCCCCGATGACACTCTCCATGTTAGTACTATGGTCGAAGATGAGGAGTAAATACGGATGCAAAATAATCGGCGAATAAAAAGCAGATTCCATCCATCAAGAGGGGTGAGCATACCGCGAGCTCCCCTGCGCCGTTTTATATAAGACCAAAACCGCTTAGGATCCGACTCAACAGAACACTGCACGCGGTCAATATGGCGCTTATAATCTAAGTCAATTAAGAGTTTACAACGACCCTGCAACAACGAGAATGATAGATAGAAAGATAGATAGATATGCCGATGCTTTTGTGTTATTGGAACTGTGATAAAGTGAGATTCAACAAAGTGTAAAGTACCACATGAAATGAATGGCGGCTCTGACTTGTGGTTGTATTCTTTCATGCTGAATTTTGTTATGGCGTTTTAACCCTTCGGTTAATTGTTTTATTGCTGCCACTCTTCCATCTTCAACTTCAATTAGCTTATGCGAATACTGTGAAGAGCATTTACTTCGGATCTTTTATACCTTCCATTTTCAGTTTTTGTGATGCACTACTAGATATGGTAGTAGTTGGAGTATTGGTAGTAGCAGCTCTTACAAAGTTGTGTTCTGCAAATATTGTAGAAAATTCAGAGGTTGGAGTAATATTTGTTGGGATTTGTATGAACAGACAACGCTTGTAAATCAGCAGTGGGACTGGAGAGGGCAAATTCAAAAGAAGTACCTAGATATATAATAAGAAGTAGATGGAAAGAAAAGATGGTTTTGTTTGTTGTACTCAGAAACTAATAACTTCGAACACCATTTGATAACAGACAAATTTTACGTTTAATTTTGATTTTGCAATCACCAGAAGTGTTGTCAACTATTACTTCGTTTACAAACGTACACGTTTCAAACCAAATTTTTGGGTTTAGTTTTGAAGATTTATTATATACAGTGTGTCTCCGGATAGGTGAAACGACTCTTATAAAAGATAAAATTTTTTCAATATTAATTGTCATTTTTTGGGGTTTAGCTCTTGTATTTGAATTTGTCTTTTACTTGTATATTTGTTTTATAAACACGAACAACAAAACTGTTTTACGTTTTTATTCCTTCTTAAACTGTCAACGACACCCTTTTTTACAACATACTGCCAACATAAAATAAAAATTGGTTACCAACCCCAAATAAATAATGGTACCAACAGCCCTGCTTGATTAAAGACTAATTTTGAAAATATTATTAATTTTTAAAAAACAAGTGAGAGTTGACAGCAAAAGAAAAACTTTTTTTGTGGCAGGTAAAGTACCTTTTCTGTTTACAGTACGTGAAAGTATTACTAAGAAGTTTTGTTCATAATGAAAATCTATAGCGTACGCAAATTTTCGGAATGATAGGAATACTTTGAAAAAATCCATATTAAACAATTTTATGTCTAACAAAGATTGCCTTGGAAAAACAAAATTGCTTTCCTGTCATTGTTAATCTGCCAAACTGTAATTTAGTAAACTTAAAGTGTTTTTTAAATACAATGTTAACATTAGAGGAAAAAGTTTACGTGATTCAGTGTTATAACACCAACGTATAATGTTCTTGTAGTTGATGAACAATATTTAGTGGATAAAGGAATATTTTATGAAGTAGCTTCATTAGCAGGATTAATACGTACATTATAAGAACGTATGATGTTATTGGCTCAACGAACAGTTTTAATTGATACTGTGAACTAGCATCGTTAGAAAGATAAACCTGTACATGATTACATTGTATGGTGTTATTGCAGCAATGAACATTTTTAATCGATACTATAAAGTAGTATCATTGGCAGGATAATCCTGCACATAATTATAATGTTCGACTTTGTTGGCTCAATAAAATGCGATTTGAAAAAACCAATGTACGCTATTCATTCATGCAATAAATTTACATTAATCAATGAACGAGTTCATCCTTTTGTGCAAAATGTTCATTGTGTCAACGTACTTTTTCATCGGACTGATTTTATCGTTATTTTCATTGTTACAACGAAGAAATTCGTTGTATATACGTCACTTTTTCTCTCAGTGTATGGAACCGGGGAAAAACCGATAAATATGGTTATTGCTTTATTTAGTGAAAATTTTCCTAATACTGGAATTAAAAGTAGGACTTGTTGGCGTTTAATCAAAAGATTTCTTACAGCAAGTATTTACCCTAAGAAAAAAAAATTCTGATGAAACTGATTAACTGTTAACTATGATTAACTGTTTTCTTTTGTGGGTGAACAGTGTTCATACCAATTAACAAATTGTAAAACTACGAATTTAGCAAATTTCTATATTTTCATATTTTTCTCTGTGCTCTCGGATGCATAAATAGTTAAGTACCTTTTTTGGAGAGCATATCTCTTCTTTCCAAGTAGTTATTAGTCTTTTCCAGTTATATTTAGCATTCTGTCAGCATTAGGTAGCTTTTTCAGAAGCATATCTCTTCGTTCCAAGCAGTTATTAGTTTTTTCCAGCAGTATCTAACATTCTGGAAACAGCAGGTAGCTTTTTGAAAAACATATCTCTTTTCCAAACAATTATTGAAGTCTTTGAAAGCAATAAGTAGTCTTGGAAGCAGTATTTCGCCTGTCCAAGTAGGTTAAATCCTTTAACAGCAGTGTTTAGTGTTCTGGAAGCAATAGGTATTATTTTGAAAACAGCATCTAGTCTTTTCCAAGTAAGTAGTGGTCTTTTTTTGCAGAATGTAGCATTTTAGAAGCAGGAGGTAACTTTTTGAAATAGTATTTCCTTTTACTAGCAGTATTTAATCTTCTGATAGCCATAATTAGTCTTTTGCCAACAGTATCTAGCATTCAGGAGCCAATAAGTTAAAGAGAGGGATATAGATTTTAGGTTATCTTTAGTTTATAGATGGTAAACAACATTTTAGTCGTTGTGCGTCGAAAACTTCAGAAACAACCGTATTTCACCCGAAAATATCTGTGTTAACCAAATGTGCTGCGAAAATTACATGATGTTGCCCAGTGTGTGTTCACTGAACACACACTTAATTTTTTGTGAACATTTTAAGAACGGTTTGTTTATTTCTCCCGAATAATCTGAATCTCAAAACAAAAAATCGTAATAAAGTACTATTGACGAAAATAATAAACAATGGGTTTTATCAAAATAGGGTGATGATTCCGAAAATTTGCATATGGCCATAACTTTTCATTCTCAATACAATTTCTTAGTAATATTTTACCATACTGTAAGCAGAAAAGGTACTTTACCTGACACACAAGAAGTTTTCGCTTCAGTATCAACATTCACTTGTTTTTTTTAAATTTGAAAATATGTTCAAAATTAGTCTTTAACCAAGACAATTAATATCGAAAAAAATTTACATTTTATAAGAGTCGTTTCACCTATCTGAAGACACACTGTATATTATTAAACACATAAAATTATGCTTTTATCTCACGTGTAACATAATGTGATGTTTGGTAAAAAAATAGAAAAATCTTTTTATAGTTGCAACCCAAAAATTCCCTTATAACATCGTTTGAGGCTACATCGATTAAAAAATTCCTCAATAACCCGGGAAATCATAAAAAAACACCCTTTTCCCCACTCTGCCCTCGAAAAAAAAACCAATAAAATAATAATAAAAGGCAAACCAACCCCTGTATCTATTGACATACGTGGCGGTTCGCTAAACATTATTATCCTCTGGGGGTAGGCAATTCTGTGGACGGTTCGGTTGGTAACACTGATTGGAGTACACCCCCGTGGTGGGGAGATGTTGTGTGCAACCCTCGTATTAAGACCACGCCCGGCTCCCCCGGATGAGTTAAAAACCCCGCCTCCGAATTCAATATCTCATATCGCCCGCAAGGGATGATGCGCTTCCGAGAGAGTTTCCCCCCTTATCACCCCCACGGAACGGGGGATGCATGATTATCTCCTGCCATTGAGAGTTCCGGACCGGTGTTGTTGTTATTAGAGTGTATTCGGCCGGGGAAAATTGAGCGACGCCGCCGTCGATCTCGACCGCCCTTCCGGTCGTGGATTCATCCCCCCACCATCGGAGTTTCCACCCAACGTGCTAGGAAAAGGAAGAAAGTTCGAAATGAGAAGGATGGAAACGTTGAGGAAGCGCTCACGGAAACCGCCATTTGGGATTCTTAATTAAATCGCCCCCGGAAAAGCTAATTTCCTTCGCGAAGGGGTGAATCGGGGGAAAGACGGAGATAAGAGGAGGGGTAATTGGGGTAATTTATTGCGAAGGTTGCGGAATAACAGTTGAACCGCGATTAGACGGCACAGACACAATTGAACGTAAAGAGATTTGTGGCTCTAAACGATTGAGGTAGACGGAGAATGTGGAAGGAGGAGGATTGAAAAGGGGGTTGATGTAATGATAGTTTAGATAGTTTGGAGAATAGAATCTAAATAGTTTTGGTAACAACAATAATTTCTTGATAAAATGATTTATGAATCATAGATTATTTAAAAATGATATTTAGGGATTTCTTTCGTTAGATAAATTTAAAGCAGGAATAAAAATAAATCATAACACAGGTTAATATTGAACCGCTGCCCAACCGAAAACCCTCTCGTTTACCATCGCTACCATGAGGCCCCCCGAAAATAACACAAAAAAAACTTCAAAAGCCACTTCACCTTTCCTGCTGGAATCGAGAGAGTGATAGAGAGAGAGAGAGAGAGAGGGGAGTTTCTCCCCAATAAAAGCTAGTGACCACGCCTCCTCTTCCTGCGAACGCAAGGCGGAGTTTCCACTTTGAGCCCCCTCATATCTCCACGCCACACCAACAAACCGAACTGCAACGCGGGGATCCCAAACCGCGTTCGCGTTCTAACCAGTCAACAATTCAAAACCGCGTACAAAATTATTAAGCTCACAATTTTATTTCCTTAAAAGCATCGGTTACAATGCTTCATTACAATTACACTCAATCTCTATCGCATTTCTTAAGTTACCATCAATTGGACGCCGATCAAAATCAAGAATCCGATCAAACGGCGGGCAATGAAGAGGAATTGAAGAACTCTACAGTTACAACGAATAAATCGTTTACAATAGCTGCAATTTTGGGTTTAAATAATAGTGGAGGTGGTGGACCGGGTGCTGTTGGTTCTGGTGGAGGTGGAAGTGTTGGTGGTGACGGTGATTTTGGTAAAGACGGAGATATGAACGTGGTTAATTTAAGTGTTCATCATCATCATCATCCCGGAAATATTGGGGAAAGATCTTCGTCGATGGGGTGTCCAAGGCTACAATTACCGACGATTCGACAAGGAAATAGTGGTGGTTTGGGTCTTCAGCATTACGTTACTGGAGGTTGTAGTACCGCTGGAAATAGACACGGTAATTCTGGTGAGTATATCTTCATATTTAAAGTGAATGAAGTAGTTAGGAGGTTGGTTTATTGTTTCTGCCGTATTGTTCTTGGGAAGCTGAGTGTAACTAGAATTTCTGTATGAAGGTTAGTGAGGTTGTTTGTAACTCAATCTACTAACTCACTTTTTTTTTTTTTTTTAAATTAATAAAATTATTAATAACCACGCATTCACAACCACCATAAAGAAATGATCAACACTCAAAGTAAGCTTTGATTAAATCCCATGTTTCGATTTTTATAAAATCATCATCAGGGGTTATTAAAATTTTTAATAAATATCATAAATAATTTGTTTTCTTTGTGTTTTTTTAGTTCGTGGATTAAAACATTTAACAAATTCCGTAATATCCAATAAAAAAGCGTGTAAGAGTAAACGGGTGAGAACGATCTTCACGCCGGAACAATTAGAACGATTAGAAGCGGAATTCGAACGACAACAATACATGGTTGGTCCCGAGAGGTTATATTTAGCGCATACCTTACAATTAACCGAAGCCCAAGTTAAAGTTTGGTTCCAAAATCGACGGATAAAATGGCGAAAACACCATTTGGAATTGACCCAACAACGACTGGCCGCGTTAAAACAACAACAATTATTACTGGATGATACCAATGCTGATATACAAGATACAAACAGTTCCGGGACAGATACTTGAAATCAATTTCTTACTAATGAAGATGTAGATTAAAAATTTATACGGTTAAGAAAAAAATTATATAAAATGAAAAAAAAAAGTTTTTGTATAAAATGTAAATAATGGATCTTCTTGGTGGTTGTTATTATCTTTTTGTAAATAAGTAAATGATTATTTTGGGGGGGAAATGACTTTTTTTTATTTCAGGGAGTAAAAGTAAGAGTCATATATGAGCTTACTAAATTACGAGGTTGTTTCGTAAAATAATTATTAAATTATTGAATCCGTCGTGGAATTTTGTCGGGTTAACGAAAAAGCCCGATGAAATATTGTGATTATTGTATAAGTTAGAGTTTTTAAATAAAATATAAAATTTATTGAACAAGTTATTTTTCTTTTCCTTTCTATTTTTGCTTCTTTCAGTTTTTGTACCAACTAAAGCTGAAAATTCAGATTCTACTAGATCAGCAGTTGAAAATGAAAGAAGAGGCAATATTATATACGTCGTATTTGGATACAAAAATTATTTATGTTGTTTGAAGTTTCAAGTACATTGTATGTAATGAAAACATATCAGAAAATAAGCAATTTTAGCAATCTATTTATATACGTGAATTTCTTTGCTTCTTGTCTGATGTGTTTCTAGTGATTGGTCTCAAAATCAGCACCTCGTTGGTGTTTGCCCACAACTCCGTAGTATATATCATTATTGCTTTTGTATATCTCAACTTTAGTCTCGGTAAATATGTAGTTGTTAATGCGTAGTGTTTCACGGATGGAGCAGTATGTGTTGCTGTGGTCGCTCCGAGATTTCATCCATTTTCCTGTTGGTTGACTTTGGAAAACGTTTTGCCAAGTTCCGCACTACGCATTAACATTATACACCTCTACGGAGAAAAAACCTACAGAAAAACCAAGCTCTGCGAAAGACTGAGGGAAAAGAAAACCAACTTACTTTGCGTATTTAATTTCCTAAAACGATGGCGTGACTCTGACTTACAGGCAACCTTCACCAGACTAGCCCAGCACACCAGATCTTGACAAACTCAAGCCATCCTCAGACGAGCCAGCAACACCCTTCTCAGAAAGGAAATTGGTCAAACGGGGAAGAACCTTAATGACACTGAATACGAGCTCTATAAACTTCATCTATTCCTGAGTCAAAAGTTGCACACCATCATCTGGTCCCGTTTAAAAGTCCTAAAGCTTTGGCGTAGTGAAACCAACAAAGTTCTAAAAACCAGCAAACTTCAAAAGAAATTCGTTAAGGTTGTCATCAAAGAAATTAACAATTCTCACATTTTATTGGCTACTTTAAAAAATGTAAACTGAAAGAAATGACACCAAAGGAACCATTTCCTTAAAATTACCTGTGAAAACATGATGGGGATCAATTATTCATAGTTTAAAAAGTCTTCTTGATACACAATATGTACTAAAAACATTAGCAGTTTGTTAATGAGTTGAAGATATACTCAATAAACGAGTTGCAAAGTTGATATTGGATGAGGATGTCTTTTAGGTAAAAGTTTCAATCTTTTATCACCTAACCCTGTTGTTATGGTATATTAAAAAACAAGTTTTGTAAGACACGCTTGAAACGCACGAATTCAAGTTGAAAAACGAGTGGGGAGGCCACGAGTTTTTTAATGAATGAGTGCTTTAGTTTTATGAAACGTGTTTTTTAAGCTATTTTTTGTAATTCGCGTTTTTATCCTTTTTTTTAACAAAAATAAAGTAAATTTTGACAATGTATGGAAATAGGTATGTAGCAGTTGGTAACACCGTAACATTTGAAAATAGAAATTTGAATTGACAATTAAAAATTGCCAAAACACAAGATGTATTCACCTGAAAAAAATATTTCATGTACAGGGTGTCCATATTTCGATGGGTTTGCAGGGTATCCCAGTTATTATGAAAGATAGAAAGTTGCGGCTTTCGCGAACCTGAGCTACATTTTTGTGAAACTTACAATGGCGCAAACCAAATTTTCATACCCCTCTTCGTTTTTGATATACAGGGAGTGTTTGAAATTTACGATTTTCAGACACCTGCCGTATCTCGGCTATCCGGAAACTTAGTAAAAAAGTAAAAACGGGTTTTCATAGATTTTTTCACGTGGAATTCAATGGTGCACGTAGAATTTTTCTAGTCATCCCGGTTTTTGAGTTATAAACACAACTCAAATACTGACTATTCAACTTTTAAAATACTTAACTCTTTATAACTCAAAAACCGTGATGACTAGAAAAATTCAACGTGCACCATTGGATTCTACGTGAAAAAATCTATTAGAACCCGTTATTATGTTTCCGGATAGCCGAGATACAGGAGGTGTCTGAAAATCGTCAATTATGAAACACTTCCTGTATATCAAAAACGAAGAGGGCTATGAAAATTTGGTTTGCGCCATTGTAAGTTTTACAAAAAAGTAGCTCAGGTTCGCGAAAGCCGCAACATTCTATCTTTCATAATAACTGAGATACCCTGCAAACCCATCGAAATTTGGACACCCTGTACACCTCCCAAAATAAGAGAAATTGCTCCATAGACAAAAATTGTCACATTGACAACTAGAAAAATTAATGACCCAATGTCACCAACTTGAACTAGTTCCATAAAATGTTACTAAAATCTCCTTACAGCATCGGACGCTGTAAGGAGTCTCATTACAGCACCCGTTTGAGTACTGTAATAGCTTTCATTACCGTCACGAATTACAAAAAATACATAACCCAACTGGAAGGAGATAAACCAAGGTTAAACCAAGTCGCTGAATGCTGTTATGAGTTGGAAAGTCATTTTGAAACAGCCCTTTTCTCAAGCTTAACCAAGAGGAAAGGGAAGTAAAAAACTTTTTAGGTAAGAGAAAGCAAATGGCAATAAATCCAATCCATCTTGCAGCAAATATTTCTAGATCCAAATTTTAATGGAATTCATCTTAATAAAGAAGAACAAATACAAGTAACAGACTTTATAGACAATATGGCTACTGTAACAAGCCCAGATGAGTCTGCAGAGGTAATGGCAGAATTGGCTCTTTATCGATCTAAAGAACAGTTATTGGGAAAGCCATATGTTTTAAAATCCATGGAAAAACTACATCCCGTTGTTTGCTGTAAGAGGACTTGTTTTGGGTCGACATTAAGTAACGTAGCGGTCCAGATACTATAAGTATGCTAAGATACTAAGAAATTGGCTTACAGCTGGTAAAATAACTTTCATTGCTCACAATTTAAAATTATTAAATTCTGCCACCAATGTGGAGGTTAATGAAGACAATGAAGACATTCCTGACATTGAAGTGATTTGGAAACGTTGCCAGAGCTGTCTGAAAATTCATTAGATTCGAACTAATGATTGTTTTTAGAATAATACTTCTTCTGTCCAAAATTATGCTATACATTTCTCTAAAATTTATGGATTAAGGAAAGTTTGGAGAATTAACGAGTTTCTATCCATTTAATATAATCTACATGCGGTGTTTCTAATAAAGTATTAGGCGGCATGTTTAAAAACAGTTGAGTTGTTATGCATGCGTCAGTTGAGAAATGTCAATTTGTCTGACAATTACAAGATAGAAATGTACAAAAGAGACGTAAAGACGAAGCAACTAACGTATGAACAGTGTGCTGGAATTTTACAGTTCTTGTTACATCACAAAACCGACAGCAAATTGAAGCGCTGTGTTATTGATCAAGTTGCAAGGAAGTTTGATGTTGCCTGAGAAACTATTACGCGTATATGGAATAGGGCGAAGGAAATATTTGTGTCAATGTGGCTTCCACGTATTGGATAAAATCAAATCAGAACGTGACTAGAGTTCTGTTCGTCGAAGGTTAAATCAAATCGATGTTTTGAGGCTATGTATAGACGAAAACGTTTATGGCTGCAGTGGTCAGACCACGCTATGACAGTGCCAGAAAACAGAATTTCAACTACAAAATAGGACTCTGCAAAAAGAAACAGCAAGAACCGAAACAATGGTGATCAAAAACATCGAGTCTATTAACGCAGCAGAATGTAAAAAGATGATTATCGATCAAGAGATAAACCTGATTTGAATGTTTTAGACCTTGGCTTCTTCAATGCTATTGAGTCTTTGCAGCACCAAACATCACCAAAAACTATGGATTAATTAATCTAGATTGTGTTGAAAATACCTTCGACGCATTAACTAAAGAAAAATTAGATAACGTATTCTTGACACTACGAAAGTGCATGGAGTGAACCATGATGGCCTCAAAAGGCAACAACTATAAAATTGAGCACTTTGGTGTTTACCTGCATCTATTATGTGCAACCAAACTGCCATTGAAACAGCTGAATTGTGTTTGAATGTGTAAANGAATTTTACAGTTCTTGTTACATCACAAAACCGACAGCAAATTGAAGCGCTGTGTTATTGATCAAGTTGCAAGGAAGTTTGATGTTGCCCGAGAAACTATTACACGTATATGGAATAGGGCGAAGGAAATATTTGTGTCAATGTGGCTTCCACGTGTTGAATAAAATCAAAGAAACTCCACTTAATCGTCGTGACACAATTCGGAGTTTGCCGTTTGCAATTAACATTCCAAAATCGACCGTTTTTCGCATTTTCAAAGAGGGACTACTATAAAAGAATATCCTCAACAGTGAAGCCACTATTAACGGACTATAACAAAGAACGTGACTAGAGTTCTGTTTGTCGAAGGTTAAATCAAATCGATGTTTTGAGGATATGTATAGACGAAAAGTAGTTTTACTTATCGCAAGTTAAAAGGTCATACTACATCAGGCCGGACGAAGCAAAATCAGAAAGGCACTGTAAGAGCAAACGGTTTATAACTAAAATTATGTTTATGGTTGCAGTGATCAGACCACAGAATAGGACTCTGCAAAGAGAAACAGTAAGAACCGGAACAATGGTGATCAAAAACATCGAGTCTATTAACGCAGTAGAATGTAAAAAGATGATTATCGATAACGTTTTACCAGCCATTTGATCTAAATTCCAAAAAGCGCATAAAGCCAAGACAATTTATGTTCAACAAGATAATGTAAC